GAGTTAACTTCTAAAACTTGTAATATTTATTTTTGTATACATTACATTAAAAATTTAGTGAAAATCTTAACTAAAAGTTGTGGCCAAAATGTGAAACAAAAAACTCTCTTGTTTATACATCTCATTTCATCCTTGAAAGCCCTTTGAAATATGATATCCTTGCCCCATTTTTCACTATAGAGAAACTGAGGAACAAACCATGTGAACAACTTGCCCAAGTCATGCAGCCGCCGGTCAGTGGGAGAGCCAGACAGTCTGCTTCTAAGGCTGAGGCTGCTTCTAGACAAAAAGGTCAAATATAATAATAAAACATGTCAAATCACCTTAAAAACAAGCCCTGGTACAGAACTTACTCAGCCAGGACTCTATCTTCATGATTAAGATGGGGTAGTATCCATCTGTGATGAATTCTCGAAAGGATTAAATCAGACAAATGTGATAATATATGCCTAGTATACTGCTGGCACACATGAGCTGACACGAAAAGGAATGTCTAGTGCTCACTCCATCAGCACGTATACTGAGATTGGAATGATACAGAGAAGATTAGCATGATCCCTACGCAAGGATGACATGCAAATTCGTGGACTGTTGCATGTTATTTATGCAAAATTAAAACCACAGTGAGGCATCATCTCACACCAGTTAGGATGGCCAACATCCAAAAGACAAGAAACAACAAATGCTGGCAAGGGTGCAGAGAAATGGGAGCCCTTGCATACCGTTGGTGGGAATGTAAATTTGTGCAAGCACTGTGGAAAGCAGTATGGTGGTTCCTCAAAAAACTAAAAATAGAACCAGAAATACCATTTGACCCAGGAATTCCACTCCTAGGAACTTAACCAAAGAAAACAAAATCCCTGATTCAAAAGATACATGCACCCTTATGTTTATCGCCACAGTATTTGCAATAGCCAAGATATGGATAAAGAAGATGTGGTACATGTACACAATGGAATATTATTCAGCCATAAAAAGAAAAGAAATCCTGCCATTTGCACCAACATGAATGGATCTAGAGGGTATTATGCTCAGTGAAATAATCTGGGTGGAGAAAGACAAATACCACATGATTTCACTTATTTGTGGAATATAAAAACAAAGCAAACACAGAAGGAACAAAACAGCATTAGACTCATAGACACTGAGAAGTGACTAGTGTAAAGGGGGAGGAGTTGGGGTGGGGGGGAATGTGAGGGGGATAAAGGGGCACAACAACTCTCAATCACAATATAAGTTGACCATGGGGACTGTTGAATGACTGCAATGTACACTGAAACTAACATACAATTGTATATTAACGACACTTTAATTTAAAAAAGGAATATCTAAATGAGGAGACAGATCCTAAATTATAATTTAAAAAAAACATAAAACAAAAACAAAAGCCTGTCCTTTTCCAAGGAGAGGTCTTTCAGATCACTAGAAAATCCAAACACTGATGAGACTCCTGAGTTATTTTTAGGTTTATTGACACATTTCAATCTCATGAGCCCATGCTGACAGCAAGAGGTGAAAGGCCGTGGCCCAGCTGTGCTCCCCCTGACCTAGGATCTCCACAGCAGAGAGGGCAGCTTTCCAGAGAAAGTCTCAGAAGGAAGGTCTTAGGAGTTGTAGAAATAATTCTGAAAAAAACAGAAGGCCCCATCACTACTGCACCACACAGATGCACGTGAGGAGCATTTATGTGACTTGGAGCCACGACACCTGGGTTTGAGTCTTTACTTTGCCAATAGTTTCAATCCGTGTGACCTGGGGCAAGTTGGGTCATCTTACCAAGCCTCAGTTTCTTCATCTCTAAAATGAAAAAATAAGGTTATGCTGTTCCAGATTTGAAGAGACTAAGTATGTGAAAAGACTTTGTGAGCTGTAGATTGCAAGTGAAGAGATATTTATTTTTTACTACCATTGGCAGAAGGAAAATTTGTACTAAATCTATCTGTATTTCATTTGAATGAATGGAAATACCATGCCACCTGTGGGTATGGAGCAGCAATAACTGAAATGCACTGCTGCTGAGGCGAGGTGCCTGGTGATGTCCAGAAGCACACGTGCCCCAACAATTCATTCAGAAAGAGGCTCATGACACCAGCCAGGAACTGGCCAGTCCCCAATGCGACCACGAGTGGCTGTGTCTTCTGAGGTTCAGTTATAACCATCCACACAGAACTCAACTGTTAGAGTCAAAGGTCATGGGACATTTAGCTGTTCAGCCAGAGAAATCTGGAGTTAGTGCTCACAGGTACCCACACAGGAATTCACACCATGAATATTCCCTGCTTCCTAGCACATGTGAGGGTATTAATGGGTTACCAGTGTGAATGAGGCACGCCACAGAGCTACCCTTGTGTCACTTACAGCCATGAGATGATCATGCAAATACAACCAGGCAGACAGGCAGATACTTGGCTTTCATAGCTGCTATTAGTGTATTTTAAAACTTCTACATTTTGATGAAGTCTTTACATTTCTTTATTCTGAACCATGAAGAACAACAGAATTTCACACAAGTATGGTTCTAGGATGGCAGTAACAGAGTTCAGCCAGTTAACCTCCTCGTTTTCAGAGATGAAGACCCTATGTGCTTTGTCCAGGGTCCCTTGGCTGGTGAGAGGGGCCAAGCCTAGGCCAGCAGATGACGGGTTGGACACACTAGCCACTCTGGAATTCATCTTCCTCCTACTCAGGACTCAATCGGACCCCAACGCCTCTTAGAGGTTGGGGCATGATGTGACTTTTGTGTACATTCGATTTCTGCATTGAGGCCTTTTAAAGGCCTGAGTCCCTATAGTTGCCTAGAAATTCTGGAACTTTCTGACAAAAGGTAGAATCTAGAGTGCTTCAAATGGAGTTGTTCATTTTTAGTCATTATTTCTCCATTCCTAACTGATGGCGACTAACTAGAGACAGGATTCCTTTTTCATTGTCTTTTTGGGACTTGTTCATTATTTACAATAAGATGCCTTCTCAAGTCCGCCAGACATGAGTGCATAACATTTCTAATCAGAGCCCAACCAATCCCAGAAAACTAGTTTCAATGAAAATTGAAGTGAATAATGGACGAAGTCTAAATGATTATGAGCTGAGTGAAAATTCCATTTCCCTGGTCAAAACAATGTGGAGCTGTTAAATTCAACTTCTGAGGCTGTTTGCAGGTTGCATATTAGTCTTCCTGAACACACACCTTTTGTTTCATCTGTAATTTGAATACTCAAAAATTAAACCATGTGTAAGAAACAGAGCTGTAGCCCTCGTATTCAAAATACAAGCTGCAAGTGCATAATTTATTTCCTGAGCATTTTATAGTTCATAAAGGGAAGGAGATTAGCAGTGCTTGAGTACCTACTATGTGCCAGGCTCTTTACTGGGCATATTTTTCATGCATCATGGTTTATTCTTCACAACAGCCCTCTAAGACCCTTACAATTATCCTTTCATTACAGAAGAGGAGATTGATGCTCAGAAAAGTCAATGGCAGAGCTGGGATTTGAACCTAGGTCTGACTGGTGCTGAAACTCCCACGCTTCCTGACATCAAATGGTTTAATTTCCTTCCTAGAGAGACTGTGTCATTTAGAATATGCAGAATTTCACTCCTTAATCCAACAAATGAGCCTGAATTATGCTAAAGAAATTCAAAGATTAACATGGCAATTACCCAAATTTGCCAGCTAATCTATCTGAGGATGACAGAAGTGACAACGATGACAAAAATGGCTTGGAGTAAGTCAGGCCCAGTGCCACTCTCTATGTATGATCTCAGCTGAGCCTCAGTACAACATCCTATGATGTGGGTGCTATACCAAACCACTGGCTGAGGCCCTACGTGGCAGGGGTGGGATACAAACCCAGGCACACAGTTGCCCTGCAGTTACCACTCTGCTGTGTGGCTGTCAAGGAGAACAGAGCAGGTGACCCAAAGACTAATTATTGGCACATTTTATTTCAGTTACTTGATGAAAGACAAAATATGAAACTTGAACTTTATAAAGGAATATATTCCCATGTTAACAAATAAAGGAGGAGTTCTCATCAAAATTGAAAGTAGGATGGTGACAATCTGACACAAATTCTGAAAAATCACATAAATGTTAGTATGTTGAAGAGAAGGGATAAAACAAAGATACCAAAGGAATTGGCTCTTCAAGTAAAGGGACTAAGGGCTGGAAAACTCACTGTACTGTGATGGAAGAGGGGGCACTTTATATATCTGAGCACAGCTGGGCTTGTGATGTCAAACAGAAGCTACTCTTGTGGAACTGGCCTTCCCTGGTTCTTGGAAGGAACGGAATCCCACCCTCTTCCAGGCTGGCTGACCTCCCCATTGTGGGCAAACCGTGGGCCTGTTCTGTCAAAGGGAGCTTGTCCCCAAGTCTCTCTGGCTTAGCAGTTCATTATTTTCTGTGCAAAATTTGAATCAAAGTAGAAAAAAAATGTTTAATTTCTGACACCATTCTCTCTTGGTGTTCTCTGAGGTTTGAGGTTAGGAGGCAGGAATAGGCGAATGCTTCCGAATTCTGTGTTAACCTTTAGTTCTTTAAACTACTGTTTTGCATCAAATAGTTTCTTTATAGCTCTGTAATGTTAGAAACATACCTAATCTCTCTCTCTTGACCCCGTTAAGTGTGGCAGTACAGAGTAGTGGGTATACAGCTTCTGAAGCCAGACTGCCCAAGTCAGAACCCAGTTCTAACACCAGCTGTATGATCTGGCCAAAGTGCAACCTCTTGAAATGCTTCCATTTCTTCATCTGACAAATGGAGATGACATAAGGTTCTACCTTCTAGGGTTGTTGTAAATCAGTACACATAAATCATTGTTTAGAACAATATGTGGCACATAGTGAGCATGTCAATAGATATTATATCTTATGGGTTACTGATCGTAAGTTAGGCAGCAATACTGAGCTAAACCTGATCAAAATCAGGGCTAATATTCCCATGTTTATTATGAAGTTGATATTTGTTGAATTATGGAATCATTCAATGGGAAGACTCCAACTCTCAAGAAATCAATTTAATGCAAGTAGTAACTATTTATTGTATTGACATATTTACAAAATATTACAAAGTGAAATACCACTCTAATTCACCAAATTACATAAGGGCTGCATTCAGACAGGCAAGACAAAGTATATGGAAAAACATTTACTTCTGTCTTTGGTATTAGAAATCTACACAAGTCTGCAGCATTTAAGTTTCCAGTACAAAGTATTCAACATAGACAAAGATGTAATCAGTAATGTCATGAAAAGGGGCTCTAATATCCTCTGTGAGGAAACCCTCAGGTCCATGAAATGCAACAGGAAGACTAAACACCATTTTTAAGGGAGGGAGCCTGTTGGCTAAAATAACAATAAAAGAAACAATACGAGCTGCAATGCTGTACACAGGAGTGTTTCAATTTGTGTGATGCTTCTCTCTCCAAAACAGCATCTGGTTGACAGTAAAAGACAAAACATCCTGAGACACAGCATAGTAGATACAACTTTACAGGGAAGAATCCACTCCAAGGGGATGCCTTGAAGGTATAACTTCACTGTACAGAACATTTTATAAAATTCATTTTCACGATCATTTATACATATACAAAAGCTTAACTGGCTTTAACAAATAATTTTTCTAAGACACAATCACAGTTTACATAATTCTGAGGTAAAGGTCCTGAATCTATCTTTTTAAAAGACATCCTAGCTCACAGGGGTCTCTAGAGGGGGATGTGTCCACTGAACATCAAGTTCTGGCACTCAAGTGGGCTGGGGAGCGGTCAGGCCACGCCCACCTCAGTTCAGAGATGATCCAAAATTTCAGAACACAATGTTCCTAGTTTGACTCTATTAAGTTAATGCTTCTACTGTTTTGTTTTCTTTAAATACAAAACATTCTCTGAATCTTGTCAGAACACGATTTCTGCTAAGGAGAAAATATTTCATCAGGAAAGGGCCAAGTTAGTGTCTTAACTTGACTATCTTGAATGGGGACTCTGTGTATCCCAGGAAGAACATATTTAGGCTCCTCACATAAAAAGTGAAGGCTTGGTCAAATAAACAGCACTGCAAAACTGGTCTTCCACCAGTTAATACCCAGCCAGAATGGGCCTGGAGATGGGAAGACCCTGGTGAGAGCTGGGAGCCCACAGGAAATAAGAGCAGAAAAGCCTTAAAGACCCACCCGCCTCAGAAATGCATACAGGACCCAGCTGTGCTTTCCTTCCAACATCCTCACAAAGTTGTTGGCACTACTGAAAGTACTGCAGGAAAATGTGAGAATCAGCAAATTGGTACAAAGTCTTTTTTAGGGGTAGGAAAAGGCATGAGTTAACAGATGTTGCTTCTATAAAATGACTTGTTATAAATTACAGCCCTTGATCTGTTTCTGTAAATACCACCACCTTACTAAGATCACTTGCAACTAGCTATCATATGCCCAGCCAAGATCATTTCATAAAATGAGGTACTCCATTTCCACAACTCTGCAAAATCACGAAGGTTGTGAAGACTTAATATGAAGACACTCTCTTTTATGTCTTGGTTTTTGTTTTTCTTTTGGAAGTTTTGCAAATACAGCAGGACATCAAATGAATAATTAAAACCCCTCTGGGATATAGCACTCTTGAGGCAAACCTGAGCATTTGCCTCTTATATTTTATCATGAGTTACATCTGGGGGTAAAAAGTGCCTGCCAGGCAATGAGTCACCTTGTGAGGCAATTTAAGACAAGTAATGCTGGACCTTTCCAGTAAGCCGCCCAAGTGGTGGAATTCCAATTTTCCTTCATGCTGGGAAAGCAAAATTAAACTTCTGCTCCTTTGTACCATCAAAAATTCTGGTGAATGGCACGTGAGAAGAAAATAAATACGTGTGAAACGTTTACTAATGGCTGGCATTCATGGGGTCTGACTGGATGAGGTAAAAAGAAACATGAACCAATACATTTGTAGGGCTCTTCTGGGAAGAAAAGCTTTCGGCTTTGCGCTGGTCCCCGACAATGACAGACTGGCAGGCTGCTTCTTGCACAGCTTTAGGCAAGCCATTAATCTGTCAGTACCAGCATCTTTAGAAATCCCAGCATTAAGACTTAGAAGGAAATACGAGGGAGGATGTTGAATAGCCAGAAATGCAGCTTTTTAACCACTTCAATTAACTCATAATGCTGTGCAGCCTTCTGTTTATCTCTTCTCTGAAATGTCTGGTGCAGGGTGAAACGCTGGATTGGAATTTACTCATCCTCTTCCACATACGTGGATGGAAACCAGCCCACCTGAAAAAGAAAAGCAACCGACATAGCAACATGGTTTTGCATCTGGCGCTTCAAAGGCTTCTACAAGCAGACCGTGTCGTTTCCATGATATCCTGAGTAAGCTGGGGGCTTATGCCCACTGCGGGTGAAGAAGATTGGTTTAACTCACTGCTCCTAGAAGCCTAATAGACTGAGTGATAGAGACAGGAATCAAATAAGCCAAAACAGTGTTCTGATCTCCTAGCGCACAAATAAATACGTAAATTAAGAGTGTGGTGCGGGGCTCTACTACTGAACGTTCCCCATTTCTGCTACAGAATAGGATGTAGACACAAAGGTACTATGACCCATTCTTACCACTTTAGATCAGCAGCTCTTACAGATATTTTGTACTCCATATAAAGTTTATGGTGCTGAGGCTTAAAGACTAAAACAAACTGAGACTCTCCTCAAACCTTTTCCAAACAGGAAGCTGTCAAGCTTAACCAAGTGAACTTATGCCACTGTGATATTCATTCAACATATTTCTCTTGAGTGTCTATTTTCAGTAAGGAACACCGCCGGTCTCCAGAGCCAGGGCTCTGTGGGGTGAAGGCTGCGACGCAGTCTCGGGGCTTCTGCCCAGCCCAGATGGGCACCAACAACGGTCCCGTCCACTCCCCTCACGGGGGACAACTCACCCTGCCATTTACTTCCCCTCTCCACCAGCCATTGGCGCTCATCTTCGTGTAAATCTTCACCACATCTCCTTTCAACAAGGACAATTCCCGCATGTCTCTTGCACAGAAGTCATACCGCGCGATGGCAATGCCCAGAACTCTCGGACTTAGCACTGTGAAGACAGGATGGGCGGTCAGAGCTGACGTGCACTTTAACCACTGCAAGAACCTAATCAGATGACCGTTACAGATGCTATCAAAATGCACAGCCGTGATTTCATTACAGACTAGTGATAATGGCAGAGGAGCTTGAAAGCAGCAGAATTGCTGTTTCAATTCAGTCACATGTCGTCAAGTTCAAGGCATGAAGTTTAAAAAACTATTGTTCTATTTTCACATTCTTCATAAGAATTTTAAAACTGCATCTAGTTTTTGTGAAAAAAAAAAAAAAATTCATACCTAAGTTACTATCCAAGGAGATAGAATCTAGCTAGCGTCAATTTCCTATTGATGGCACAATACTCTATTTCTAACTAGATCATCTCAGGGGAAACCTTTACCTTTCTGTTGTAACTTTTTCGACTAAGTCTCAAAACACCCACACTTGTTCTTGGACTCTCCTCTGGAATCCATGTCATCATTTCTAGCTAAATGGCATTTCTGCCCCCAACCAGCCTTTCTTTGTTAAAACTATTTGGGGGTAAAGTCAGTTATTGTTTCAGATATAATTTCATTTATGTGAAGAAGCTTAAATCAGGTTTTACAGAAAGAACATGTAAACACCATCCGTTTATCTTTTTCAAACAAATAAAATGCTTTATAGAAAACCTTCACTGAAATATGTAATCAAAAACAAGATGTTAGGGTGTTCATCTATAAGCAGATTTTTCTTTGTTTCCACATTGAGAGGGGCGCTAACTTACACCTTGCTCTCACCTGCCCTGTCCCAAAAGGAAAACTTGTACCAAGCTGTCCCTTTATTTGTCTCTAGTGTTTCATAACACATTGTGTATTAACTTCTCTACCTGTTGCTCCTTGGGGTTATAAACCGTTTTCAATTACATGTTCAGTGATTCTGAGAATCACTCACCTGGGACTGGTGGAACTTTATAAACCTTAAATGGCAGAGGAACTTAAGCATAAGAAAAAAGAAACAAATGGGAAATGCCATCTATCTGTATTTTTAACAGTTCTCAGTGCCCAGGCAGCCACAGGTTAAGACTTGTGTTACTCGGGAAGAGCCTGCCCACTTGGAGACAGCAAACTCTGGCCTATTATTCAGGACTTTGTAATGAAAGAAATTTTCTTAGTCTCCAGGTGTCCATCATAAGATAAACGAATAGCAATGGTGTAGATTTCAGAACTGTAAAGGGAGTAAAAATAGGTCATTTTATTTTACTGTTCTGATACAAACCACTCTAATAGTTTTCTTCTGAAAAACGTCCCATTAAGGGGGCATTACTCTTAGAGTCAGTGCACAGAAAACACCACTATGATGGAATGACCCAATCATCCACTTAACTGTGAGCCTCATGCAGCCTCTTAACCCTTCTAGGCCACTTTTTTCTCACCTATAAAATGAAAGGGCCATACTAGATGACTCCGAAAGTCCCTTCTGTTACTAAATTTTATGAGTCCATGGGGACTTACAGGTTAATTTTTTTAAATTTGTAACACAACATATTTTATCTAGCCATGGTGTACTCCCCTGTATGTCACACTGACAGCTATTAAGTTTTCTGGTTAATGAAAGAAATCAAGACCAGAATGTCTGTGTACAAACTGATAGGCATGGTCATCCTTTCAAACAGTCTTATGTTTGGAGAAAAAGTTGGGATTCTGGTTCTGTATTTTTTCTTAGTGGAAATGCATAAACACTGGCTTTTCTCAATTAAAATGTGTGATCCTAAAGAAAACTTGTAATTTTTAGAGAATGCTTCCTCCCCTCCTTTATACATTTGACCTCCATTCTTTTCTAACCTCTCCCCACAGATAAAATAGAAAATGTCTTCCTGAAAAACGTAGGATGAACACACACACACAACTGGAGGAGTGAAATGTCATGACAAACAATGACTTCATGAAGAGAACAGGGAAGTGCATGGTGGGAATGTCAGTCTAGGGGACTGTTTGTGAGGAGATGTATCTAGATGAGAAGCCATACATAGTAGTCAAAATATTTCATTTGCAAACAGAAGCAAGTTAAAAAGACACATAAAAGCAATGAAGCAGTACCTGACCAGAAAGGAGTGGAAGAAGGGGGAACAAAGCTGTAGTCTGGTGGAGTTACAAAAGAAAGCCCACAGAACAAAGAAGGGGCTTAGAGAAAGAAAGAAAAAGAGAAGCAAAAGACATTTAGGTATTGGCAAAAAATACTGCAATACAACTATTTTGTTGTTTATAATCACAAGAAAATTGTCACACCAAGCTGGAATATCAAGCTTTGCTTTCCCCCACTTCTCTCCTATCACCATTGCTGGATGATGAACTTGCCAGAGTTTTACATTTTGATTGACATTAGTTCTACAGTTCAGAGCTATCCATCCTCTTACAGGAGAACACAGCATTCCCACTCCATGGTGCCATCTTTCCCCATCCATCCAAGGATGGACTTCTCCTCTTGATGCGGGGCACAATTCCTGTTTTGTTATATCAGTGGAAAGAGGAGTCCTGTAAATGCTTCCCATAAAATATGCTTCCCATCAAAACTGATATAAAGACTTAAGAGCCTCCAGGGTGGTGTCAACAAAACATGCAGGGTCCATCAAAAATTCAGGAAAATCACTTATACAAGTTGTTAGGAAATATCCCCACTCCCAACCAAGCATGCACACGCTTGCCTATTTCTAGAAATAAAATGAAAAACACTCTGAATCTTATCATATCTGGAAAAAAAGTAAATACATTTCCAAATTGTAGGAATGTACAGGAAAGTTCTATGCATTTGGATGCCCCAAAACTTTTCACTTTACTTTTAGCAGTCAGGGCTAAAAGTTATCAAATGGCTCTGAAGTGTCAGATGCCATGCTCAGTGTTTTATATTCAACATTTCATTTAGTCATCATAACAACTCAAAGAGGAAGGTACTATTTCCCCTTATATTTGAGAAAAACCTAGATTCAAAGCCAGGCAGTATGAACCCAGGGTCCAGGCTTCATAACTGTGACCCGGCTCTGCACCCGCCGCTTTGCTTCGGGTACCTCCACAGGCAGTTATAAACTCCACCTGCTGATACCATGGAGCCATTGCGATGAAAAAGGGAAGCATGGTTATAAATTTTCTCCCAGTATTTGTGCTCCCCTTCATTAATAGGTTGCTCGGCGGGCTATGTTTGCCCAGAAGGAAACTGATGTTTCTGTCTTCTTGCAGGTCGGCATAGCTGTACGCCTGAGCTCCTGCCACTGGGGTAGGAGCACACGGGTCTTAAGACAACTTCTGGTACCTTTCCTGGCAAGGAAGCTGGTACATGCCTCTGACCTTTTTATTCCTATTCTCTCCATCTTGGTCCATGAGAAGGAAGGCCCCACCTAAGGACGGCAGAGCAGGAGCCTGATGGAACCTGGGTCACTGAGGACCTTACAGAACAGAGATGACCTGCCCTGCTCCACGGCCCTGGACTGATTACCTCTAGATTTGTATGGGGAAGAGATAAATATCTATCCTGTTTAAAACGAAGGTTTTTAGTTCCTGTTACTTGTACCTTGACCTAATCTAAACTCTAACAAAAAGCTTTCTTATAACCATGGATGTGGTGTAAGTGGGAATGCAAGTGGGATATGAGTCCTTACAATCTTCCAATCGATTCTGCCTCTTTTCAGGCCCCTGCTCGCTTTGAGAGCCATAGAATTCTTTCAGTTAATACTCTTGTCAGGAAGGGCTTCTAGGGATATCTAAGAATAACAGTAGCTCATTAAGGGGCTTCCCAGATACCACCAAGTCTGCTGGCCAAGAGAATTGGAGAGTGTTCATCTGTTCTTGGAACCACGGACCTTAGAGCCCTCACATATGCACTGATGTGTCCACGACACTCTTCTCAAGAATGATCTCACATATTTACTTTTAACCTACTCTGAAGTATATCCTTGTCGATAATGTTCTTTTCTAACCCATTGCATATTCCACATTACATTTTTTTTATTTTAAAATGCAGTTGTACATGCCATTAGAATTAATTTTACAGTCTGTCTGATTCATTTGTTGCCACGCAATATAACTGGTTTGTTTTAATTTCCTTGAGATCATGCTATACCCACTATTAGAGAGGGGGACAGAAATGCCATTGTTATTTTAATGAGGAAAATGGCATATACTTAACTCTATTATTGGCAGACAATCTGGTTTCAAGATCCCATGTCTGTGAGAACTTAAAATTAGAAACCCTCACTTGACACATTATTTCTGGCAGGTATCAGAATTTTCTCTTTAACTGTTTTCTAAGGGGCCATCCTTGATTCTTTCTCTGGGACTATTTTATCTATTAAGTAATAAAAAAAATGGCTGTATCTGTCTAAAACTTCTAATGAAGGTAATATAAGTCAAGAATCTAAAATATAACAGGAGGCAAGTTAGCTCTAGAAGGAAGAAATGAGAAATTAATGAAAACACAATTAAATACAATTTAAATAATCTCAATAATCGGTAAGTAAGTTAGATCAGATAATTTGTCTCTCATCTTAAGGTGGATAATGCCTCACCAAAGGACCTGAACCTCTGTTTCAAATACATAATATCAGCATGCTATCCCTCTCTCTTACCTAAGCCTAAAAGGGTTATATTCATTTGCATTCATGTCAAGTAGCTACAATTAAAATCTTAAATCTTGCCTTGGTTCCTCTGCTGGCTTCTTGGGAAATTAATTTTTTTTCCTTAGTGAATGGAACAGATTCTTGGATAAGCCTCGGCTTCTCACCTGAATTCTAGTCTGTGATTTCCAAAGTTTTCATGACACTGCCACGAGGGACAACCATTACCTCTGATATAATGTGTCTGAAATAAAGTCACCGTCTTCCTCCCTATAATCTAACCTTCCACATTTGTTCTTTTTTCTAAATGACTCCTTTGTTCTCTTTGCAAACGCAAAGTCAGCAGCTTTGGCTCTTCCTGTTCACTCTATTCTTCCTCTGAAATATGAAGTTATTCCTACACTGAGTTCCCAGCTCCACCACCCAGTCGG